AGGGTCAAAATGTTAGTTTTCCAACAAACATTGTAAATCACCGATGTCCAGGTCAAAACTTAGGCAAATCTGTTCAAATTCTTTCATTGTCAACCCTGAGGTCAAAGCTTTTCTAAAATTCAATGTAAAGGTCTGAAAATCGTAGATAATTCAATCAACCTCGCGTCAACGGTCATCTTACAACAATCAACAATCAACTGCTGAAGTCTCCCCTGACTCATCAACATTGTGTGATCATCAATATGCTGAAATTCTACATGGTGAGCTCAGGGAAACCGTCATGTGTGGTACATGTTCAGATTGCTCCACACACATGGCGGGTATGACAAGCTGTGAGCAATCAAACCTTGCACATTCTGAGGGGGAGTTTCAGTTTTCTCCTCCTGGCGCCTTACACTGACAAAGCAAGGAATCTCTCAAAGGATGCAACATTTTAGGGGGAGTGTTCAATGTTATCCTCCCCGGTGCCTAACAATGACAAAGCATACCGAGTGCTCCAGTTGAGGGGGAGTACAGAGAGAAAATGAGAAAGTAATGAGAGAACATGTCCTTATGGCTTAGTAAACCCAACTAAGCCTACCCAAGGGACAAAGCCGAGCGTAAGTGCGTAAGTGAGCGAGTGAGTGAGTGAACATTATGAGCATTAGGAAGCAGAAGGCTCGAGTGAGAAGGAAACAATTATCAATGATGAGTCTGCTACCTCAATTGCCTGCTATGAATTGACCATTTGCTCCTAGCCACTAAAATACTCTGGACTATCCCCATAGGTTCAGGACTGAATTTATTCAGATCCCGGGTAGAAGTCGCTGCATTTTGTCCAAACGGCGCATGCACAACCCTACCCTAGACCACTCACTTGTCTCCCAACAGACAGGTGTTTAATCATATTTCACGGGGAACCGCATCTCTCATTACTACCTCCTTACGAGGCAAGTAATACTGACTACAGTGGCCTCAGCCCCATGCCACTGAACTTTCATTGATCACGTCGTGTCTAGTTACTCACTCCCAAATGTTTTGAAATTTTCTAGGACACAGACGCACTTTTAGAATCAGTTGCAGGTCTTCATGACCCGCGAGAACTTCCATAGGGCTCATCTATTACAGATGTAGACCAATAATTGGAAGGAAGTCCTGCTGTTGCAACATAAGAATCACCAACATTTTCAGGCCATTGCTAAAGAGTTTATCTCTATAGTGATGATAACGGACGTCTTCACGACCCCGGGGGGCTACATTATCTTCTTTAGATTCTGCTTGTTTTTCCTGTTTTTATTTCCGCAGAATAAAAGAATAAAAGCATGACGTCCCGATTCATCGGATCGTCATGAGGGGGAGAGTGGTCCACATGCTGTTAACACTGAACAAATCATTCTGGGACACTTCACTCCTCCATCACAAAAATCAACACCTTCTCTGCTATGTCTACAACTCAAATCAAATGGTCAGCTACACTCACAAATCAACAATCATTATGTTCCGCTGTGCCACCGACAAGTTCTCCTCAAATGCATTCATTCCAAATAGTCAAAAAGACTACATTGTGGAGGAGACAGAGGTCAAATACTCATGTCCTGAAGATGAATTCCATGGGCGTCTCCTATTCTCCAAAGAATATTCATTCTAGAGGCGTCACCGGACTTCATCCAAGCTGATCAAGAGCAACTTCTGGAAGGCAAGGACTACATGCAAGATACTGAAGGTCCCTCAACCCCCGGCATCAAAGATCAAATTGTCAAGAAGACATCAAAGGGGAGATTGCAAGGATTTCTTCAGATAGCCTTCCTCAGAAGTCAAGTTCAAAGACAAAGGAAGCTCAATAACAACAAAGACAAAGATATCTGCGCTGCAATGCTGATTCAACACGATTGATCACCAAGGGGGAGATTGTTGGGAATATTTTATGGTGTTCAATCTAGTTAGTTATCTTTGTATTTGTGTAGTTATCAATTAAACGTGTAATACGGGCCACAAATGTGTATCAGCCCGTGGGCTTCCTTGTAACCCGTAAGTTAGCTAACTTCTCCTATAAAAGGAGGCTAACTTACGGGAACCCTAACTGATCGATAGAGGATTTAGAGTTCGGAGGCGTAAAGATAGAGAGATTAGGGTTGCCGCTGCTCTCCTTCTCCAGGGAGAGCAGCGGCCGGTTTTCTTACGGTATACCAGATTGGGTTTTAATCTTGTCGATTTCTTCCTATCTCCTTCTTTATCACTGCTATGGTTGTATGATTGTTAGTATTTTGGGATTAACATGAGTGATATGCACTAATTAGTAGTGCATAAATATATATTTTTATGATTGATTTGTGTGTATTGTTTACCGTATTATTTAGTTTGTAAACATTTGTGTGAATTTAGTTGTAATTGTATTTTAACATTCATTTATTAGTTGTAAAGTAGAAGTAGGAATTATGATGTTGAAAAGGAGGACTTTGAAGTGAAGAAAAAGAAGATTGGACTATCCAGGGGATAAAACCCGACCGGGTCGAAGACTTCACCCGGTCGGGTCTGATTCAACAACCGAAAGTGCCTGGAAAGTGCACTCACCCGGTCGGGTCCCCTACCCCACCCGGTCGGGTCTGACTTGACCCGGGACACTTTAACATGCTGAAGATCACCATAACGTGGAGGATATTTGATTTTGACATGCACCCGGTCGGGTGGGCACTTTACCCGGTCGGGTACCCGACCAAAGGTGTTGTAAAACACCTATAAATAACCCCATTTTCCTTCACTTTTAAATATCCCTTCTTCCATACTTCTAAGCTCAGTATAGAATAGTTCTTTCTTTATATTTTTCATCATGTTTAGTCTCCAAATGAGGAGCTAAACTCTTCCATCTTGGTTTTGCTACTTTGAAGCTTAATGAATTTGTAAGTTGTGAGTTATTGTCTTTAATCTTCTTCCTTGAATATTAATTCTTCCTTTAAAATACTATTTTTATATCAACAGTGGCGGAACCAGAGGGGGGCGAGCCGGTGCTGGCGCTCCCCCTTCGCCGGAGATGTTAGGGTAGATATATAGATACTCTCGACAGCGCCCCGGTCATCTTCTTCCCTGTAGCTTGTGTTTTCCGTCAATGGTGTGTGGTTGAGCGAAATAGAGAATGTCGATTCAAGTCTGAGAATCCATATTGCTTTTTAACTTAATCCAAACGACGTTGTTGGGTTAAGTATTGACGGATTGGAAACTGTGTGGCTGGGCTAGTGGGTAGAAGTTAGGTTTATTTTGATTTTAATACGTTATTATCAAGCCAAAAGCCCAATTGCCTAAATGCTAAAATCCGAAACGGCAGGCATAAGGGAGAGAGCAGGCGAGCAACGTCAGCCAATTCCGTGATTTGGCCATTTGAATTTGCGGTCAGCCGATTGAGGAAAGGGAAGCACCGACTGACCTCTACGTTTTATTGTTTCAAGCTACAGCCAGGTTTATTATTTATTTGTTCAACACTTCAACTTGCGATTAGTTTTTTGTTCGAGACTTGTAGTTATTCTATTTTTCATTGTTAAGATTTGGGTTACCTGCGAAGTTGAAATTAATGGAGTATTAATATGTTGTATATTTATATATAGGAAAAAATTGTCCATAATAGGACTAAAACTTACTTAAAAAGCCATAATAGGACTTACTATGTTTTATTCCCCCCTAATAGGAGTTATACGGTTCTACATGTATGTTTAACGTTTTAAGCAATATCCAAAATACCCCTGCCTATGTTTGCCATTACGCCGCATGTGTTACCGGCTATTTTCGGTAATCCATGTGTGAAACCATTTATGAGTTTCCGTTAGTTTCCCTCTTTGATCGAGATTCTTTCCAGAAAATCAGTTTCCTAAATCAGTTGGGAAGTCAGTTGAGGTACTCTGTTTTTTTTTTTTCGCGTTATTCTTCTTCTTCGTCAATCATTTTCTTCGCGATTTGTTTGAGCTGTTCGTCCTTCTCCTCTGCATTCATCTTCTTCTGCCATTGTTCGTTCGTTTGCAGAGTATGTTCACCGAAACTTTCCCGTATAGTCCTTCTTCACCAATCATGGTTAAATTTATGTTGCAATTGCTCTCATTTTGCTTCTAGAATATGTCAATTCGTCCGTTGTACACATGTCGTTCTGCAATCATCAATATGTTTTATTCCTCTGTATTTTGCTTCTACAATATTAACAAAAAATTCAAAATTTTTATAATCGATTTCAAATTCATTATTGTTAATAATTTAGCTCGTTTGCTTTTCATCAACTCTATCAATGCTTTTATTTCATGAAATTTCTTCGTATGTTGCTATTTCTGCGTTTAATCTTGGTGTTTAAATTGTGTCTTGCTGTAAGTACTAGATTAGGTTCTTCATAACTGGCTCTTTTGTATTTCTAACTGTCATTTTGTATTGTTTGCTGATTTGCCATTTTGTGTGGTAAATATTATTTATACATCCTTATAGACTGTCACATATTCACGCAAACTGTCATTTTAGTATAACCAACTTTCTTCTTTCATGCTTCTGTTATACTGAAATATTTGTTTTTCCTTCAATTTTTAGGAACCTTTTTGCACAATGGATCCTATTTTACTTGTTATGGTCAAGGTCGATGGTTTTTGGGATTCTGACTATGTGTTCACCAATGTGCACACATGTGGGCTTCATGTTAACTATGGTGTTCAATATGCTTGTTTTGTTGATATGTTGACTGTCATCCTTTCTCAGTACAAACCTAATCATAATTTCAGGCTTTCTTATATGAGAGATGGATTCCCTCCTCCTGTAACTATAAATGATCAATCTACCTTAACATTTTATCTTTATATCAAGTCTCTTCAACCAGATTTTCTAAAGTATCCACTTTGTGTTGAGTTTTATCCTATCTCTTCTTCATATCCATCTTTTGTTGGTGTTGAACCTCTTGCTTTTCCTTCAGCTAAAAATGTTGTCATTTCTTCAACTCATTCACTTTTTGTTGATGAGAATGTTGTTGTTTCTTCCCAACAACATGCCTCCTCACCTGCACTCTCTTTTGATCATAGCTCATCTTTTTGCACTGAAAATGTTAACATCTCTGGTAGACACTCTCAAGATGTTGCTTCTTGTAGTAACACTGTGTCTAGAGCTGTAGAAATTGAAACATCTGAAGACAGTGATGAAGGCATGGATGACATGTCAGATGGCTTAGTAATAGAATCATCTCAGTCACTGTCATTTCTCCACAATTTTGAAGTCATCACACAGTCCCATCCTACTTGTCTTGTTCTATATGCTATTTACAAAAGTAAAACAGACCTTATCCACCATCTGAAGATGTATGCTATCACAAACCACTTTCAATACAGAACAAAGACCTCTAGGAAAATATCTTTACATGTTATTTGCTTAGATCCAAAATGTCGTTGGACTGTTCGAGCTGTAAGACTACCTGGCGTACAAATGTTTCAAATTAGAAGGTAACTTCTTATTTCATTCTTTTTGTTTGAATTCGTTGTTAATTCTTGTTTATCAGAATGCCATGTATTGGTGACATTCTTGTCCAAGAATGCCAATTGTATATTACTCACTTGTATAAAAATGCCATTGTTTTGTCATTTTAGATTCTGTCCAGAACACACATGCTCTATTGATTATAGACAAGGCAAACATAGACAAGCAACTGCTACTGTGATAGCAAAACTTATTGCACACAAATACCTTGATGCTTCCAATAAACCGTACCCACCAAAACAAATTCGTGAAGACATGAGTATGCAATATGGAATTTCCATGTCATACAAAAAATCTTGGAAAGCACAGAAGAAAGCAATGCAGCTGCAATTTGGTTCTGATCTTGAATCCTATCAGGTTTTGCCTTCTATGGCTTATGTGCTTGAGATGGCGAATCCTGGCTCTATGTTTGATCTAGTCACAGGGAAGGATGATGCATTTTGTACCTTTTTTATGTCATTCAGAGCATGGATAGAAGCTTGGCCTCACTGTAGACCTGTTCTTATACTGGATGGTTCATTCCTGAAGGCTTACTATAAAGGCACTCTTCTTACAGCTTGTTGTCAAGATGCCAATGATCACATAGTTCCTATTGCATTTGGTATTTGTGAGTCTGAAACAAAATCTTCTTGGAAATGGTTTTTATCCAAAGTCTGTCAGTCAATACAGTACAGACATGACCTTTATGTAGTATCTGATAGGCATAAAGGTCTTATAAAGGCTGTTTCTGAAATCTTGCCACATGCTAGCCATGGTTTTTGTGTTGCTCATCTGCGTCGTAACATGACACACAAATTTAGAGGATCTGCAGCTACTTTGGGATGGAAGTTCAAAGCTACCTATATGGCATCAACTGTTAAAGAATATGATGACTACTTATCCATGTTGGATTCTGAAAACTCCAGGATAAGGACTTGGCTAGACAAAATAGGTGCTAACACATGGTCAAAAGTAATTTCTGGACCAAAGAGATATAATATTATGACCTCCAATTGTGCTGAGTCTATGAACAAAGTCAATGTATGTGCAAGAGAGTATTCAGTCTCTAAACTTGTTGATTTTTTGCGTGAAAGGATGCAACAATGGTTCACAGAGAGGAAAGATAAAGCTGAGAAAACAAGTACTATACTCACACGGAAATGTGAGAAACGTCTTGTAGCTTTGCAAGCTGAAGCTACACGTATGAAGGTATGTCAAAGCTGATTTTTAACCATAAGTCAGTTCTCAGTTTTTTATCTGGTTATATAATGCCACTTTGTTTATCACTATGTCATTTTGATTCTGCATATCTGTCAGTTTTGTTCTTGTGTTAGTATATTGTTTAGGTACTTCATTTTTATTCTAATTTGATATTCATATTTTGGCCATTTCCTAGGTGAAACCATCATGTGCATATGAATTTGAAGTTGTTGATAGCAGATGCACGTCCTTTGTGATCAATCTCAACTCTAGAAGTTGTACTTGTGGCCACTTTCAACTAGATCACTTTGTTTGTGTTCATGTTGTTGCTGCAATTGCTATACGCCCACATCTGTCATGTTATACTTACATTTCTCCTTTTTATACTAGAGATGCTTGGCTTGCTACATGGTCTGGTATTATGCATCCAATTGTTGATCGTGACAGTTGGTCTGTTCCTGCTACTATTCAAAACCAACTATGCAAGCCACCAACTTGTATGAAGTGTCCTCCTGGTCGCCCGAAGAAATCCAGGATTCCACCCATTGGAGAATATAGAGGTTCAAAAAGACAAAAATGTTCTAGATGCCATGTGCTTGGCCATAATAAGAAAACTTGTAGGAATCCCATTCCAATCAATACCCAGTGATACCCATGGCTAATTCATTGTATTTTGTCTTTTGTTTTTATAAAGTACTTTTAAGAATTCTATTATGTGGTTTGGACACAGTTATCATTTGTTTAAATGTTCTGCCATTTAGTTTTCAGGCCTTGTGTTTTGGCATTTTGTTTACTCGTAACTGACATATGTCAGATTTGATGGCAATTTCTGTTCACAATTGATGACAGTTTGTTATGGATAGAAGTCAATGATGTATTTGACATTTGATGTCAGTGTAATAAATTTAGCCATTTCCATTGCCCACAATGGCATGTCAATATTGTGATGTCCTATTGTATATGCGTAATTGATATTGTTCATTGTTGATGTCATTTGGGTTTCTAAAAAAATGTCATGTAACTGTCATTTTATGTCATTTACATGCTGCATGTACTCAAATCTGACCGCACAAACAATCCTTGCATATGAAACTACAAGTATCCTGTACATAAACATAATTGAATAAACTTGCAGGAATCCCATTCCAATGAATACCCAGTGATTTACCTTTGCCAACTCATTGGAAGTAGTTATAATTTCCTTAAACATTTAAGGTATTGATTTAGCCATTCTGCATATAAACAAAATTCTATCATTCAAATGTTCTTTACTCACAATTGCAGATCAATTCTCTGATGTCATTTTAATTATTAAAAATGACATATGTTTATATATCATGTCAATTGATGATACCACAAATGTCATCTAAAAATTAACACAAGTATAGATGAACACAAGTATCCTATGAACTATTACCATTTGAAACATACATTCATAGGTTCTGTTCGAAAAACAATAACAAAGTCAAACAACATGTTGTTCGAAAACAATCACAAATGATAAACATAATTGTTTCAAAACAATAACAAAGGATAAGCATAAGTGTTTCAAAACAAATGTACTGGATGTTCCAAAAGTACTATTACATATTAAAAGCTGCACTTCATTCTTTCTCAGCCTGCCTTCTCTGGCTGTATAGAACCAGCTCAGTTGCCATTTTTTCCCTAAACAAGGGTATTGCTTCAGGATATATGGCATCCATGTCCATCTCTACCATTAGAAATTCTGCCATCTTCAACATGTATATTCCACAGTTTCCCCTGATGCATAACATAAAGAAAAAACATTTTTTAAAAATAATAAAGAAGTTCACTATTACGCAATCTGTTTAAGTAAATTTATATGCTCTTACCCATCATCTTGTTGTGGACATCCATCTACAGGATCTACTTCCAAATACCGTTCACCCATAATCTCTTCACCCATCAGTTCGTAGACTCTGTGATAATCCATAATTCTGGGCAGGAGCACAGTTATGCTTGCATAATAGGATCTGATATCCCTCAGTGAATCACCTCTTCTAGCATTTGAATTGTACACCCTAAATTTTCTTTGCTTGATATCTAGTACTAACAACACCCAATGATTGCCAGTATTCAGAGGAAAGTACACATAGTCTGCCTTGCTCCAGTGTAGGCTATAGTTGTTAGCACCTATTATTTCACGCACAATGTTTTCTTGTTCTGCTGACTTGTGGTATGTGTAGTGCCCCTTTGATATTGTGTCAAGTTCACGCTTGAGTATTTGCAAGAAAAAAGGGCCAGTTGTGGTATACTTCTGTGGCAGTTTGTAATGCACCCTTTTCATGCCCAAATAGTACATTACTACCTCAACATGCTGTAAGAAGTAAAATACACATTTATCATTTAAAGGTAAAGCAAACTAACTAATAATGTCATTCTGTACTGACTCAGATGTATTTAAATTTACACTTTGTCATTAAACTGACAACTATATGATCATTTGTATGCGTACCTTGTCAGTGATCCATTGGTGATTCATAAACAGGTCATATAACCATGTTTTTGATTCAACTTTCATTGTATCTAGCAAGAATGGTTTGTTGGTCATTCTGTCTTCGTCCTTTTTGTACCTTCTGCCAGTTTTGTTTTTTGTGAAGTTCTTCAGCAATCCAACTTCTAAGTATTCTTTCACCTTCTGTATTTCTTCAACCGGTGGGTTCTCTGTTGGATCTTCAGAGAAAGGTCCAATTATTTGCTTCAGAGGTGGCAGAAATTCATCATCTTCTCTTTTCTTTCCCTTTTCTCTCTTCCTCCTCTTTGATGCATGCTCTGTTCCCATGTACTTCACTGGTGACCTAACAACACGCTTTTGTTTGGGAAGATCCTCCTAAGGCATTGGCATAATATATAATATTTACTATGTTGTTATATGTTTATTTAAAAGAAGTAAGATACAGTCAATGTCATAGTACAAAATGTTCATAAACATTGGCAGTTGAATGTCAGTTTAACAATTGAAAATGCCACATGAATGGCATTTTACTGAGTTTTTGCATTTACCTGATCAGTTATTATGAGTGCTCTGCATGGATTAGAAGAATAGCTTTCAAAAGCCTTTTTTGCCACTTCATCTGCACTCCTGCACATCTCTTGGACAAACTGACTATTTTCCTGTGAGCCCATCCCCCAAGCAGACTCACCAGTGTCTTTTTTATTTTCCTGTGCAGGTAGTCCCTCCTCTTGCATTTGGACATTGTCTTCAATTTTTTTCTGACTACCTTGAGACTGAGTGAGTATTTTGAATGTAGGCATGTCACAAATTGCTTCTTCAGTGTTCTTTTCTATCTCCTCAGTGTTCTTCTCTTTCATTTCGTTTTCATTTCTTTCTGCATCCTCATTCTCTTCTTTATCATCCTCAACCTCTGCATCAGCATCCTTATTCACACATGAATCCTCACTCTGAACATTTGCTGCCTGTTTCTCTTTACTAGCATGCTCATTCTCTACAACATCATCATTCTGTACAACACCATCCTCAGCCTCTGCATTCATCAACCTAGTGTCCTCTTCCACAGCCATATCAGCAACATCATTCTCAGAATCTGGCCCAGTCATGGCTATCACATCATCTTCTTTTTCTTTTTCATTTTCTTCTTTTTCTTCTCCACTTTCTTCTTCATCTGTATCACCCTCTGCAGTTGCTTTTGTAGGCTAACTCTTCTCAACACCATGTGAAATTTTGTTGAGCATCAGAATGACATCTTTCAAAAGATCCTCTTGCTTTTTTTTATTCTTCTTCATATTTTTCATTTCTGCCACTAATCTGGCAGTCTCCTTTGCTTGTTTTCTGATGCTCTTTTTAATACTTTTGCTGTCTTTGCTCATGAAGAATACATACTTATCTGCTTCCCTTCCACTCTCACTAGAATCATCACTATCGGTCTCTTCACCTTCATCACTTTCTTGATCACTTGAATCATCATCACTCTCTTTTTCTACTGTAGTATTGTTTCTTCTTCTTCTAGAAGGCCCTTCTTCAGATTTGATTGCTTTACATGTGCTCCTCCCAGCTTTTGTTTTTTTTCTTTTGAATACTTTGGCCTGCATCACCTTTTGTTTCCCTTTTGCTACAATAGTATTTGGCTTTTGAGCATCAATCCTGCCAACATTGTTTATCACAAGGTGCATCACCTCCTCATTTATGTCATTTCCCTCTTCTATCATAGCAATCTCATCTGCAGTTGGTACTATCTGTGCCCATTCAAACTAAAACAAAAAACCATGTTAGTAAACAATGTGTGCACATAAACATATAAAAATTTACATATTAATCAATAACATACCTTGTCATTCTTGAATATAATTTCAGAAAGGACCTCCAGTGTAGGTTTTTTTTTTAAACTCCCACTTTAGAGTCCTTGGTATGATATGTCTTGTCCCCTTGATGACTTTGCATAAGCCAGCCTTTGCTAAACCAGGAAAAGTTTCAAATGCCCACCACTGGAATGCCATTATGAAGCCAGGGAATGTTACTCTGTCTGCTTTTCCTTTATC